AATTTCACAGACAAACAACCGTCCTCTCCAGTGCCAGAAACTGCCGGAGGCTTCGGCAGCTGAAACCATCACAACTCATCCTCCCAACGTGAGCCGTGACATGGCTGCAGGAAAACTTTGGCTCAGTATGTGATCTGTATGGTTTAGTAAAGAACAAAATGTGTGTAAATGCATAGATCATCATTTGTTGAATACAACTTTGGGAAAAATGTTCTTAAAGACAAATGAGAGTTTGTTATTGCACCACAAAGACAGTGTTGGTGTTTTGCCACTGTCTCAACTTTCATCGGTTCTGCACCACACCGCACCTATTAAGGGCCTACTGACTGTCAGCACCCACCCCCACTAAACCCGTTTTATGGGACCATCTAGCTTGTGGTTCCAAGTGAACTTCTCCGAGGTGACGATATTGACAATGACATATTATCGTGGACCAGTGACGAGGTACAGGCCTTCCTAACTTTACTGGCCGATGTTAGGATTCAGCGTGAGCTGGATGGTGCCACAAAAAACGAGTGCATTTACAGAAAGACATCGGAGATGATGGTGCAGCATGGCTACACCCAGACTTACGAGCAGTGCAGAGATAAGCAAAATAAATCAAAGTCCATGTAAGGACCACAATGGACGGAGTGGCTCGAACACACTAACCCGTTATGATCCCGTCCACTTGGCATTGACGATCCCGCACACAGAGCAGAGAAACTGTGGCAAATGACTTACGCCTGAGAATAACCGATAAGAGAAGAAGTGGAGTCGCACATCAGTGGCAAAGCGACTTATTTTCCTTAATGTCTGCTGCTAAATTCAGGGTGGGCGATGTTCTGGTGGAACAACTTTCTGCATCTTTTCCACCTTCAAGTGCCTTTATCTGGTCGTCTGGCTATTGCTAGAGCTGGTATTCTGATAAGGATATAGATTAGAACTTAGGCACTTTTTACCATCAAACACTGGTGAGGGGAACATCTCACCTGAGGCTTTCTCACCAGGCCCATTAAATGCTAGAGGTTCAGGCCTTCTCACCATTAAGCTCTGGTGATAAGAATGTTTCACATAAGGCTTTCTCACCATCAAGTGCTGGTGATGGGGATGTCTCAGCTGAGATTTTTTTTACCGTCAAGTGCTAGAGATGACATCATCTCACCTCAAGACTTCTCACCATGAAACACTGGTGATGAGAATGCCTTGCTTTTGGACTTCTCACCAGGAAACATGGGTGTTATGAACGTCTTAAATCAGGCAGTGGTGTAGTGTACGTGATACGCTCGTATAGTGACGCAGAGAACCAGAACAAGGGTGAGGGGCTTTTCAGAATAAAGGTTTAGACCGGATATTTATATTTTGTCATGTCAAAAGTATTAGTAACGTTTGAAGCCACCAGGGTGACGTTTTGAGAGCAATAAACAGCAAAACCCTTAGTAAACAAGGATTCTTGGTGACATTACTTTACAGTTTTTTTAAACAACGCATTATACGAAAAAAACACTTTATTTAAAACATTCATATATACACGAGCCACTTAAAGTCTAAAGAACTTTCATATTTTGTCCAGTTTACTGTGGAAGTCTGAACTAAAAAGAAAATAACTTATAATATTAAATATGATAATATGTGTGTGTGTAATGTAATATACATGAATATATATATCTATATATA